ACGTGTTATTCTAAACACGTTATTTGCGATAAATATCATTACATGCCTCGGTAGTCGAAGGGATAAGATGCCTGCCCGGTAAGTAGGAAATCCAGGTTCGATTCCTGAGGTTCGAGCTGAGGTGGTATTTTTTCGCAAAATAATTACGAGTTTTCACGACTGGTTCGTGGTCGGGCCCCGTGACGCACACTCTCCCTTCTTATTCGTGTTATAAATCAGAAGATAGATATAAGTCTGTATATTAGATATAATTACCTATATTCAGGTATAAACTAGATTGCTGTGGGGCTGCGTCCTCCGAATTGTCAGCCTCCTTAGCTCCCATTTCCACAATGCATAAACTTTCTGCAGCTGCTGGTAACGCCTGCATACTTCTCGGAGCGAGGCAATCCGATGGATCTAACGATATTATTCTCACTGTATTATCTTGTAAACCGACAGCCAGAAACCAGGAGCGTTGCTCGCCTATTGCTACATTTCCGAGAGCCATACACATTACTTCAGAAGGCATCTTTTTCCTCTCTGTGTATTCATTTAATTGTCCAGTCTGAAAATACGCATAGATTAGCAGACAGGTACCATTAATGAAGAATTTCACGGTACTTTGTTCACTCTTTACTAATCCTAACCATAATAGATTTAGCTAGGTTACAAAATGAAACGAGTGATTCACTTTTCGCATCCTTTACATCTCTGAGAATAGAAATTAAATACCTCAGAGAGAACAAATAATGCGATCATTAACAGAAGCGTTGGAAAAGCAATAAAATTATCGAGAATACATACAGGGTCCATTTCGAAGTAAACTAGTTCTCCTCCAGTGAGGGCAATCACCACTTGACGTTGATTGACCGCACATTTCACGATAGTCTTCTTGCCAGGTGCTTTCCATTCGTTGACACGCTTATCTGCTCGTATATGACGTATACCATCGGGATATACCTAAAAATGAATAAAGATATTTAAGATTTTAATCAAGTTATTTATATGTACTGTATAACAAAATATATCAGATTATATCATAGAATAAATGGAAAATTTCTGTAATATGACTGTCGGGCTCGTAATACCAGGAAAGTTTGGACTAAAACCGGAACGTTCCAACGATGCATAAGCCCAGATATTTTAGCACTTTATTGCGACCGGCACGTGGTTAACCAGGTGCTGGAGATACCAAGTGCAATCGCAAAAAATTTAAAAATTTCATATATAATTTCATTCAAAAATAAAAAAAAATGTAATTATTAACATGAGACATTTAATATACCAATTTAAAGAAATAATGGCTTCTGTCCAGCGTTTATTGCATATAGTCATATCTTATTATCTTTGGAAAAGTAAAACGCTCGTTGATCAATGTATAATTCACATGTTAGTCTCTAGCATTAACGTCCTATGGGTAAGAACCATAATTTATTTATGTAATTTTATAATAAAATTATAAAATTTGTTTTAGTTATTAATTAAGTTCTATATTGTTTTTAAATTGAACATGGAATTGAATATGGAACGCATGATTTATACGTGAATTCACAAAATATAAATCTTCAATATACCTGAACTAAGGCGTCCTCGCCCAAGGCAGAGCAACTTAAAGTCGGTGTTGTACCGAGGAAACCTGAATCTGTCACTTCCTCGACAGTCTCGCCGATACTGAGTACGAGGGTGGCATTCACGAAGGACACTATGATGTATGCATCATATTCCTCTGCAATCAAAATTACAAAGCTCATTCTCAGTACATAGGGAAACACATCGTCGAATCCAATATTTAAACTTGCACAAAGGAATAATAATAAGTTTAGCCCTCGATTATTCGAAACTGCGCACGCTCTCATGTCACGGGGCACGGTAAGAGTCAAAGGGCTTTTTTTTAACTTTTTGTTGAACGAATCGACTCTTATTCGTGCCGAGGTCCCTTACCTTTCGGTCATTCAGAGTTCTGTGGGTCAACCAATAGCGCGCTGGCATCCTGAAAGAGAGAACTGGTGTTTGATAAGAGTGTATCAAGCCACCAGGTTCATTAATATCGTTTTACAAAACTGATGCCGTTTGCTTTTTTTTTTAAAGCAAAACTACAATTTTCTTTTCCAAATCATATTAACTAGTGTTCTTACCAAAAAGCTTTACTCAAATTTGTTCAAGCTATGCTATTGAACCATTTTCGTAAGAGGAGAAAAAAACGAAATAATAGGTCTGCGATACTTCTGACTGCATAAAATACTTCATATCTCGCTTTACATTAATGTATGATAGTTTTTAAAAAGAATAAAGATAGACGAGATGTATTAAAAGAATATTCTTAGTGAAAATAAACACAGCTAAAACTCCTCAACTGTTGAATAAGCAGTTCAAGTGGAAACATGCAGACAATTGGTGTACAGAAATATCTTTCGACTAACCATCAACTCTTCTTTTTACAGTCCATACAGCGTTTGGGTTACCAGGCAGTTCGCTCACGGCCATTTCAGAGACTTCGAGACCGTGACGTAATACTCGTAATGTGGACCGTGGTCCTCGACCGCAGGCGATGTACAACTGCGGCGTATCTTCATTTGCCAAATCTGCTACCTATAGTTACAATAAAAAATAATATATGTTTCCTATGTCGTTTATAGACATAACGTAAATAGAAAATATTATGATTTAAATACGAATTTGTCTCCCTAAGAGTTCACTTCAGTTTGCAATGACAAACTAAAGGCGACAAAGAGAATTTTGCTATCGCACCTAGTAACCCACAGAAAAGAGATACACAAATAACATCTCCTTCCTACTTCAAGTGCACAGTCAACAAGATTTGTTGATATCTTGCAAAATAAATACGTCACCTGGCATGCCATTATAGGCGAAAGACTATCCATTTCATCGACCAGCACTAGATTTCGAAGTGGCCGTGGGGCAAAGAAGAAAGTATCACCCTCTTCCAACGGCATCGCCGAGCTGAATTCAGGTTCATCGTCGTCATCTCCAAGATGAGCTATCTGATACAAGTAACTAAAAAAAGAATAATGCAATTGCATGGTTCGCAACAATTCAAACATGTCATCAATAGAATACTAACTGATTGCCAAATTCCGAGGCGACAAACAGGAATCCTGTCTTTAGAACGCACATACTCGCCGCCACGGGCACCGTATCGAAGTACTTCAGTTTAATCTCTGTGACCATATCTTCGTCGGTTTCAAGAGTGATTTTGAAGATATCGCCCTGTTCTGTCTGTGCCAAGAAGAAGAACATGCTCTTAGTTTTGTGCGTAGCTGAGCATACGAATATCATCCCTCTCTCGGGATCGTCCAAGTCATTGCGACGTCGTGGAATCGGGCAACGTATATCGTGCTGATCACCGAGATTCTTGTATGTGAGATAATTCTCAGAGCAAATGAGTACGCCACTTGGGCCATCGTTGCCACCAGGTACAGATACAAGAAAATTTGCATGTTCCTCCAGCGGCTCGCTATACTTCCGTACGACATGATTTAGACCAAGATCGAGCTCATACAGCGTCAACGTCTGCTGCGTTTTCACCGCCGCATCGCCTGTGGGATCACTGTCGGCTTCCTGAATTAACATTTTTTTTTAATGAGCTGTATCAGATATAGATAAGTTTTATACAAACGCAATATCACAAATGTAATTATATAAGAGTATCATCATATAAAAAGAAAATGTAATCAATATTAATCAGTTGAAACACGGAAATAGTAATCACATGATACTCAATATCAACATTTATTATCCAAAATGATATATGAAAATTATACACAAGTTTAATTGGCTAAAAAGTGGCTCAAAACACACTCAATTATAAATTTGTATCTAGTTGTTACTATAAACATGCACAAAGAGAATTATGCCTAATTTTTATTAATTCATTGGTTTATCTATCTACATTTCTTCAATTTTTGAGATTTCTATTTATTTACATAAATTTACCTCATAATCGATCTCTAGACATGCAAACATGGGATTCTCAAAACCAACGTCAACACCAACTGTATGATACACCAGAGTGTTACTCTTATGAGCTTCTAATGGAGAAGAAATTGTTAGACGAGCCTCAGCATCTCTATTGAGAATATATACAAGTTTCTGCTTTTCAACAGCTCCTGTAATAATAAATATATTAAAATTCAATACCAAATATATATCACAGCAATTATGAGTGTAAACAAAGAATACCATCATTAAAGATAAGATGTAATCAATTCAGTTATTCAGTTGAAACACGGAAAAAATAATCATATGGTATTTATTAATAAGAATAATAAATATATTTGTTCAATAAGCAACGAGACATATAAATAAAAATATATATGTAATACCTATCATAACTGCTCTGCCTTTTGGATCAATAGCGAGATATTGGCCAGGAACAATACGTCTACATCCACTTTTACCAAAAGTTTCCTGCTGTACCTTCTCAAAGATATTCTTAGCGGGAATATATTCTAATATCACTATACGTCCGGAATCTGATCCAACAATAATATAATCTTTTGTTCCACCAGTTTGTCGGAATGCCATGAGAGATCGAATGATGCCAAAAACTTCAACCGTCAACAAGGTATGCACTTTTCCCGTATTTGGATCCGGTCGCAGCAATTCTAATGACTTGCCGCGAGAAACGAGAATCTCTTGCATTTTACTGCCGGAGAAATTGCCATGTACGGCATGCGTGATGCCTGTGGCACGTTGAAGGGTTAAATTATACAGATACATGTTGATTAGCTTAGGGGTTATAATTTCTTTCCTCGTTATTTCTTAATCGATCTAATCTTTCTAGATGAATTAATGGAGGGCTTATGCTCTCGATAAAAATCTTCGTAAGTCCATGCTCTGCAATGAAATACATACTTGTATAATTGTTCAACAAGAACCGCGATAGCGATCGTCTCTACCGAAATTAACTCGAAACGGGTAGTCGAACGTAAAAATAGGTACAGCTGCGAAAGTAAATTAATATCAGGACTATTATTTTACCTCGATTAAGCCCTCAATGCGACGATGCTTGACGATATATCCGGATTTCTTCGTCGTAATCGTGAAGCCAGGTATGCCCACCGCCACGACCGTTATAAAAGAGAAGACCCCGCTGCCGTTCACGAAGCTTACGAGTGATCCGCCGGAAACGACGCGCATCTGTCTCTTATTATTGGTTGCAGAAATGAACAATTATGCAATCAAAAGCGCAGCGATTGGTTGTTCCTGTAGGATCCAGCCAATTAGCAATAGGTGTTACAAGCCGGCAATGCAACGATTCATTTCGTTGAACACGCCCATCTCATGGCGAATGTCATATCCGGTGCGCGCGAAATTCATATTTGCACTAACGTCAAATTCGGGCTGTCCCAAAATGTTATCAAAATTCACTGCCCTATTCTTGAAACATATCGCATATGAAAATCCTAGAGTATGTAACATATATTATAGAATTTTCGCATGAGATATGTTTCAAGAATAGGGCTCCAGCATTGAAAATCTCTAATATAGATCATGTTCCAAAATTTATTATCAGCGCTGATAATGCATAAAATACGTCACGTGAAGTATAGATTTTCAGTATTGGCAGTGAATTTTGGAACACAATCATATACCATACATTGGCTACGGTCTACTTATGGCCATATCAGACTAGAGGTTGCTCGGCTACGATTGCCAGTTGACAATTTTATTATTATCACATTGATCGTAATCAGGATCTGCTACATTGTGATTGGCTGAAATACAATCATCAACCGACAACCATTAGTTTAGTTTTAGATATGGCCTTTAGGATGCCATCCCAAGGAGCGTATTGCGCGTATCGCGGATCGCGCGTAAAATCTGACCAATTGCGGACGTTCTGCTATTTTCGATATGCAGCTCCGTTCCGTCGAATCCATTATTGTAAATTTCGCGATTGGTCAGATTTTCGATACGCACGATTCGCGATACGCTTCATGGGACGACACCCTTAGCGTTACAAAAGTTTGGAAGAGTTTGATTAACCAATCAGAACGAAGAATTTATGAATTGACCAATCAAAAAAATGCTTCGAAGCATTTATAGCACTAAGTGGACTGCAGCCATTATTATCAGCGACAATAAATTTTGAAACATAAATACGTTTTCGAGACTATTTAGTTAATTTAAACATAGGGATAAAATATTTTTATCCTTAGAAAAAGGCTTCTTCTGTTGGTTACATGCAAAATTTGAATATAAATGCACTTTTGAAATATTTAAAGAATATCAAATATTTAATATCAAATAATTATTATAACATTATAATAAATTATTTAAGTTATTATAATAGTTATAAATGCTAAAAACAAGGAAAAAAAAACAATGTCTATATTTCATACTTTTTTATATCTCGTCAATCGTTAAAAAGTTAAAAATATTTCTATTTTAATTTTTAACGATCTCTTAATAACCATAACATCCTAAATATATAAAATATATAAAAAAATCTTTGATAAATGTCGTAATAACACAACGATTAATAAAATATCTAGATTATTGAAATAAAGTTGAACGATTAATGTGCTAAATTTTCGATACATCGACATTCCAAAATTTATGCATAGAATTTAAGATGTACATAATTTTAATGAATTCACCTTTCACTTTAATAAAAAAATATTATTTCTATTATATTGCCAATATTTATCTTTATATATAAATATAAAAATTTATCAGCATCGAAATTTGAATTCATTAAAATTTCACTCTTATTATTCTATTTTAATTTCTTTACTTTATTCCATTTTTCATATCTTCGAATGCATCGTGTTATACTCGAATAACTTATCTGAAAATATATTGGCAGTACTATCTGTCTGGAGCGGTTGCACTCGAGGAAACTTATATTTATACACCTGTGGTACCAAGGATGCGAGTACTATATCAGTGATAGCACCGGTAAATCCCCAGACACGGTACTTCCCACCAAAATAACAAGGCAAGGTAACAGCCGGTTTGCGAAAACGTGTAAAACTACATAGTTCAGGATCACATAATTTCTGCAGACTGACTACAAATGCTTCTTCTACTTCGTCAGGATTAATCTCTAGTTTCTCTGGTTCCACTTCGCCGATATAAGCCAGAATCGGCATTACATTGACGTCAATCTTGCCGATGAGATGTCCCGCAGTCCACACATCAATTTTTTCTCTGGGAATCTTTAGTTCTTCCCAAGTTTCTCGCATCGCAGTTTCCTGCAGATCGACATCGTTCTTATCACGCATGCCACCTGGGAAGGATACCTGCAACAAATATCCTCGAAAAGATTAAATTTTCCATTTAAAAAAAGCTTTAAAATCAATTCCTTAATTATACAAATCGTATTTATA